AGAACAAGAGTGTCTCTCTTCTGCTGGACTTGAGCAGGAAGACCAGAAGCCTGGCCCAGCCCAAGGCCAACTCTGAAAGACAGGAAAGCAGAGTGCAGAAGTGGAGAAGGATGGAGTCTTTTAATGATTGCATTGTGGCTCAAGAATCTTTCAGACATGGCTGCAGCTGGAACTAGCCCTGGACTTCGGTTAGTTGAACTAGCACATTCCTTGTTTCTCACGCCAGTTTGTGTTGGTGTCTGTCACCTACAACTGAGCAGGTACCAACTACTGCAAGTACATTGTCTTCTCCACACAGAGGTCAAGGATCTTTTCACCACTCTGATTTCTCCACAGGCAATAGCCACATGCCTTCCACTCATTGGGACTGAGCCTACAGGGCTGGATAACTCAGATCTCTTAGCCCTCTTGGAATAGACAGTCTAGGATCACTTCCTTGACAAATGAAGCCACCACTGAGGTTTAGAGGGGATAACCCTAGTATAAGAGTCTTTCAGATGAGCAAGACTATTGGTCCTGATAAATGCTGAGCAGAAGCTGAGACAGGCAGCTGGGCAGCTGAGATGGATCAGTAAATGACCAGAATTAGTAATTTTAGTAAGTTTCTGCTCAGCAGGAATTTGCTGGGCCAAGATAGGCTGTACCTAAATGATGAGGCTCCAAACTTCAGATCCAAGACTCCAAGCAGAGGAGGGTTCTGCGAGCAGCATGGCTCAGGTCTGATTTGGGGGTGTCAACGCCCATGTTCCTGGTTTAATTGATGGATCTCTTCCTTCAGTCCAGCACTCTGATTGCTAAAGTGTTCCAGCATCAGCGCTGCCCTGGGAAGATGCTTCTGCTTATAAGAGCGGTCAATATACTTGTCACAACAGTGGCCTCATTTTCTAGCCTTCCCTGAGCATAAATTTGATTTTGCTTTGTCTAGTTCTGCTCCATGAGTTCCAAACACAGGGGCTGCTGCATGGTAGATGGGTAATTTCTCCTGCTTGAACATTAGTAAGGATTTCTAATTGGGGAGAGGTGCCCCACCCTGAGGCAGACTCACCTGCCTGACACAGGCCCTTCTCTGAGCCCTGAGAGAGGCCCTAACAACATGTTTACATGGTCAGCAAAATTTGATCAAGTCAGTTCACCGGAAGTCCATTGTGAACCATGACTCTTTTCACGCATGACCTCCTTCCTGTCGTGTTTCCTCATGTCTGGAGGCTTTAGAATAGCTATGGCATGGGGAAGGGGTCTCAGAAGTTCAACAGGGATATATTTAGGTTGAACATGGTGGAACTCTAGGTTCCGTGTATACTTAGGTTGGCCAACTTGTCTTGCATACAAATGTCTCCCAGGACCCTCCTGCTGCCGTTGGGCTGACTTGCCTGGCCTAATGACCCAATGGGGCAGGCTCTGAAGTTGGACCGAGATGTGAGTGCATCTTCCAGTGCAATCTGGCAGTAGAAGCATGTGTACTGAACAGAAGTGCAATTTAGGGAGCCAGAAGCCAGGCTGTAGAAAATTCTTCCAATTATCAGAATTGCAAAATTGGAAACAGAGGACTTGGAGCTCAGAAATGTTTAGGCAGAATGGAAATTATTTCCTGTCAAGAATATTTTCTATAACATAGTGCATACAATTATAAATGTGTCATAAGTTTTTTTCCTTTGTGATGGGTGTCTTGTTGTTATGAACAGAATTATGCACCCTTTTAAAAAAACTCCAAGTATTGAGAATGTGACCTTTTTTGGAAATAGGGTCCATACAGAGGTGATCAGGTTATAATGGGATCTGTACAGTGGGTCCTTATATAATGTGACTGCTATCCTTATTACAAAGAGGAAAATTTGGACATGGAGATAGACATCAGCAAAGAGGACACAGGATAAAAATGAAGCTGATGATGATTCTGTAAGCCAAGAAATGTCAAAGATCACCAGCAAGTCACCAGAAGCCAGAAAAAAAATCACAGACCAGATTCTCACATAGCACTCAAAAGGAACCAGTGCCTTATCACAGACTTCTGTCCACCAGAACAGTGAGACCATACATTTCTGTTGTTCAAGTCACCCAGTCAGAGATACCTTGTTATGGCAGCCATAGCAAACTAGCAAACATGTATTATCTGATCAGAATTTATCAGAAGTCCCAGGTGACAGGCTGTAAACCCTCCGCAGCACTATGACCAGTGAAAACATCCGTGTGTGAAGTACTCGTGTCTTCTGCAGTCCAGTTGTCCAAAACTAAAAAGAAAATTTCAACTAATGATGCAAGAGGGAAAGGTGGGTTATCTTTCCATTCTCAGTACAGAAATCATTTTACTGTCAAGAGTACCCCAAGATGTTCCTGTGGCTGTCCTTACCATCCAGACTTGTTGCTCCTGACCCCTGGGCTTTTTTTCCCATCACCTACAGCTAGGACTTCCTGACCCTCGTTTCAGGCCTATCATGGGGTCTGCATGCTCGCCAGATCTTTTTATGAAAACAGCCTGTGGCAGTTTGCTCCTGTGGGCCCTGAGCTCAGATGTGAGACTCTAGAGAATGAAGGAGTCAAAGTGGCCTGGCATTTCTCTCCAAAACTGCCCTTTCTATCACTTTACATTCCTTTCCTTCATCTGGAAAATGAGATTAGAGTTACTCAAACTCAGAACCAAAGTGCTTGCTTCAGTAGTACACACAGACTCAGAACCTAAAAGAAAGTTGCCCTCATCCTTGGCTACGACAGGCTCTCAGCCCTCTTTTCATCCTACCACCCACCTCCTGCCTACCTTTCCTCCAGCCTCCCTGCCCTTCTCTCCATCAGATGAAGAGGTCAAGTTTGTCTTAAGGTACTGTCTGAAATCTTGGCCCATGACCTGAGAAGGAGCAGAGGAAACGAAACACGATTGAGCTGCAAGTTCCAGGCTCAAATTCAGTGGCTAGCACTGTGGAGTTTTTTCCTAGAACAGCCTCAACATGCAGAGCATCAAGACTCTGACTTCGCAGTAAGAGGGTTGGGGTGATAGCACCAGGAGTGTTGGGGTGATAGAAACCCAACTGGCCAGCTTAGGCCACAAGAGGCACTCTGATTGTATAATAGTTTGGTGGTTCCTCACAAAGCCAACATAGAGTTACCATGTTACCAAAGGGTTGCCATAGAGGACCCAGCAATTCTACTCTTAGGTAAACACCCAAAAGAATTAAAAACAAGAACTCAAATGGATACATGCACATGAATATTCACATCAGCACTATTTACAGCCAAAAGATAGAACAAACTCAAATTTAGGAAGTACAGAGCATGGAATATTAATCAGACATAAAAATAAATGAAGTCCTGATATACACTACAACACAAACAAATGTCAAAAGCATCACATTAAGTGAAAAAAAACCCAAACACTAAAGTTCATATATTATGTGAAATATCTATAATTGGAAAATCCATAGAGATAAAATGTGAACTCGTGATTGCCAAAGGCTAGTAGAAAGAGGAATAGAAAAAGTTTCTTTTGCAAATGATGAGAAAGTTTTGGAACTCCTAGAGGTGGTGGTTGTACAATATTATGCATGTACTAAATGCCATTGAGATGCTTGGCTTACAGTGATTTACTTTTGTTTAGGTGATTTTCATCACAATCCTCAGAGAGGGCCTCCAATTGGCCAAGTTTGAGTTACACGTGCACGCTGGCCAATCAACCAAAGCTGGGGAGGGTTAGACAAAAAAAATGGCTGCTGTCATTGGAGTCATTTCGTTGCAGTTTGGAGGAATCACACTCCTAAAAGTAGGAGTCAGGATACTTCTAGAAAAATGAAATGTTAATAAATGAAATGTGACTCAGTCAAATGCCAGGATGTGGAAAGCATTTAGAACTACTGCAACAATATGGTGGACACGAATGATATGACTACTTAGATCTAAGAGAGTTCAATTTTTAAATAGCATTAGCCACCTTTCAAGAGCTGGTAGGCACCAAATGAGAAGTAAACACACAGAACTTCCATCCACGTTCCATCAAGACTGCAGAGTACCACTTTTTCATGTCATCAGTGAGAAGGGACTTACATAAACCCAGACAAATTGGGACCAATCAGGACCAATACTTAGGCCTTAGTCTAGAATGAACTTTTTGGATCAAAAAGAAATACAATTGCCTTTCTGTTTAGACAAAAAAACATGCTTGTTGCGTACAATGTAGAAAACCTCAAAAATATTAAGAAAAAATAAAGATCAACATAATTTTTATGGCTCAGATATTATCATAATTTACTAGTAGGCTTTTTTCCTATGCATGTCTACTTATAGATGTATACATATATATAGATAGAAACACATTTTATATATTTTATTCTGTCTCCTATTTTTTCACAATATATTTCAGACATTTGCTACGTCATCAAATGTAGATTCATGCATCATTTTGGTACCTGTGAGAGAAGTTAATTCTGAACAGAAGACTCGGGAGGCTGTTTGATGAAGTGGCATTGCACAGCCTCTTGAAGACAGAGGTGGTGGGTGGCCAGGACAGTCTCAGCAGAGGGCCAAGGGTGGCAAATGTCCAGTCAGTGACAGGGCACTCTGCCCATAGGAAGTTGGCCTTTAGTAGATACAGGAAAGGGAACTCCAAAAGACGAGGTAATGTTTGTTACAAAGGTCACACAGTGCGTTGATATCAAGGGCGAGACTGGAACCCAGGACTCCCAACGCTCAGGCCACAACTTTGGCCTCCACAAAGTCCAGGCCCAATTCTTCACACTGGCATCAGAAACCTGGTTCTCACTTTCATTATCTTAATCATGGATGACAGCGTCAAAGGATTATTCTCTGCATCTGCTCTATGCACAGACAGGGAAAACAAAAGCCCCTAGAGGAAAAGGTTTTGGAGCTAGATAATAGCTGTCTCTAGTGTGAACAGAGCCTTCCCTATATGCAGGTCACAAGCGGGGGCCTGGCCAGGATTCCACCACGAGACTCTCTCCTCCCTCCTGAGGGCTGGGCCTACGTAGCCCCTGAGTCACTGTGAGTCAGCAGCATTCTTGGAGGCTGAGAGCACCATAGCTCAGCCTTGAGCCCTTTCTGTGTATCTTGGTGAGCCCGGCACAACCTCCAGCTGGGCAAGATGAAAATGCCAGGCAGATGAGTAGCCTCGGACCACAGCCTGAAGCCTGGAAGCTGACCTGTGGGGCCACGGGAATTCAGATGACTCAGAGACCCCAGCTACACCTGTGCTACCCGGAAGGTGGATGCTGACCTCGTACACTCTCTGTGGAGGAACACAATGAGGAAGATGGTGGAAGACAGTGAGGAGTCTTGAACACCCCATCACCTCCCTTAGGGCAAGGTGCAGCCCACCTTTGGGTATCAGAGGTATAGGTTGAAATCACATACCAACCTGGCAGTTGGGGCTGGAGTTACTCTGCAGGCTCACAGTGTGACTTTGGCAGGTACTTGTCTTCTCTGGGGATCTGAAATTGGGGAAACCAGTACCCACGCTTCTAGTCTTTGAAGTCCTAAATGAGCACATGTATGTAATGTATATAGTGCATGTAATGTCACGATTTGGGCGCTAAGAAAGCTCATCAGATTGGTAGCTATTATTAAGATAAAAGAAATACTGTCCAAGGGCTCTTCTCACATGCTCCTTCTATTTATTCATTCATTTATTCATTTCACAAGTATTTATTAAGTACCAGGGGGCGGGGGGGCAGAGCTCAGAACAGGGCTTTCGGCAAGATGGGAAGGGTCTGCTGATGTTTTTGGTGAAGGTCTTTGCTGAGCATTAAAAAACACAGATAGTGACAGGCATGGTCTGTGCCACCATGGAACTTATATTCCAGTGGGGAATGTGAGACAGTGAGTAGGCAGGAGGACAATAAGCAGGAACATCACAGAGACGGAAGGTGTTTGGGGAGACCCTCCGAATGCAGCAGCAGAGCGGCCTCTTCCATGAGGCACTGGCTCTGTGGAGATGTGAGGGAAGGAACAGGGAAGAAGGCAGTCCAGAGAAGAGGCAAATGCGTTTGCAGCGGGGCAAGGGCAAGGCAGGTGTCCGTGCCTGGAGGAGGCCCGGCACAGAAGGCGTAGCCAGAGGAGGGTGGGCTGCAGGGATGAGGGATGAGGGTTAGCATAGGATAACCCATCCCAAGTCCTTGCCTCTGTATACTGGGCTTCTAGAACAAGACCCCCAGATGACAGAAGCGGAACACAGCTGGGAGGAGCTTGATCCTTTCCACGAGGGGCGTTTCGTGTCCTGTCTCGGCTGCTGTGACTCTCAGCCCTCCAGGCACCAGCAGGGCCCTTGGAGTGAGCAGGGAGGCCACAGCAAGCCACCCTGGCCCTGTGTGGTGCTATTTCTGACAGAGGTCTAGCCCCTCCAGCTGTGTTCCAGGAGCAAACCTGCACGATGGTTGAATCTGAGGAACGCAGAACCTGCCCCTACCCCAGACACAAGGAGCCTTTTCTCGCCCAAGCCTCCAGGTGAGGCTTTCTGGAGATTGGGGGGGCGGTCACCCGATTTCTGCTGTTTATGATTAAGTCTTTTGCTGAGCAAAGAAAACACAGCTGTCAGTATAGGTTCAGCACCACACCTGCAGGGAGGGAGGGGGCAGTGGAGAGTGAGGGTGCTCAGGCTCACTGGGGTCCTCTCCCTGCCATGAGCTTCAAGCACCAGCATCTACCACAACTATCCAAAGCGAAGACAGTATCCTGCCGTGGATCACATCCCCAAACCCACTTCATAGCTAGGGAAACTGAGACCAGCAAGGGGCAGGAGCTACTCAGCTAATTATTGCTACCATTGAGAACTCACAGTGGGTCAGGTAGTGAGTGTGGTGGGAATTTGACCAATATGTCATAGTCACCTTGTGGTGTGATTACACAGATTACTGTCATTTTACAAGTGGGAAAATCGAGGCTTCGAGAGTCTTGCTTTCCTGTCTGAAGGCAGGTAACTAAATAGAAGAATCCAGATTTGAACCCAGCTTCTAAAGCTCACCGTGCTTTTCTTGGTGTTTTATTTACTTGTGTTAAATCCTTTTCTCAAAGACAAGCTTTTTCTCTTATTATTAATAAAATTCCCTATTGGACAAAGGTGAGAACCAAAGTTATGAAAATGGATAACGTGAGTAACTTCAGGCTGGCTACTGCTGCTGCCCGAAGGTCTGAGCCTGAGACCCTGTCCTCACTGGTGAGAGATGAGCAGGTGTGGGAAGGTGTCAGTGACACGCCAGTACTTAACCGAAGCTTTCTCTTCAAAATAATCTGAGTGCTGAGATGAGATTGGAGAGGAAATTGGTGTTTCGCTCTGTGCTTCGCTGTTATTTAATGCGGCTTAGCTTTGCGAACATCACTATTGCTGCTCAGCAAACATTTCTGGCTTTCTGCCTGGCTGGCTCACAGAAGATGGCCACCTCCTGCTTCCTTTGTGATTGGGTGGGGCCACGTGACCGGCTCAGCTCTGCCTGGATTGCACATTACTGCTGGGCTAGAACATGTTAATTCCCAATGTGGGTGAGGCGGTCCAGCAATCTCTTTTCAGGAGCCTGGGTTCCAGAGTGGGGATGGTGCAAAGGAGAGGAAACCCCCAGCTGAGCCATGAGGATTATGTAACACCAGCAAGAAATAAGCTGGGCTGTTAGAAGCCGTGGGGACTTTCAGGTCATTTTTTTTTTTTTAACTGCGGCATAACGAAAGCTATTCTGATGAATACAGCATGCCATCCAGAGCAAACTGAAGACGCAGCCCCCTTCCACAGCCAAGGGTCTTAACTGCTGTGCTGTGCAGCACACCGGCCAAGCCAAGGTTGAAGTAAAGCCTTCATATTCTGTGTAGAGGAACACAGAATGTGTTTCCACTTCTCCCAAAAGCCTTTGACTCTCCATCTTCATGCCTTCCATTTATTTCTGCCAAGAATGATGCTTTCCTCTGTCTCTGTCCGACTGGTCACCATGCAGAGACAGACTGCTGGTTTTTGCAGCTGTTCATGGCTACTTTACAGCTCTGTGCTCTTGGGCTGGTCCTTAACTTCTCTGTGCCTCGGTTTCCTCATAAAACACAAGTAGTCCTGTGACTCTACTGCTCATGGGACTGTGGTGAGGATTCAGTGTGTCACTGTGGAAAGCACAAAGTCAGGTATTTTTAAGGATTAAACTATCAGCATTATTTCTGTTTGGTGAATCTTTGCCTACCTTTTTAGGACCCTATGCACATGTTACCATCTCCATGAAACCTTCCACAGTCCCTCAAGCACAAATGCACTCTACCCACACCCTGGGCAAGTTGTACCACATAGCTACACTCCATAGGTTGTCAGCTTCTTGAGCAGAATTGTGTCTTCACCATCTGGATCTCCTGTCTCCTTCTATGTGGTTTTACACACAGTAGGGCTAAAGGACAGTGTTTGGTTTGAACTGGTTCAGACCAAGGTAGGAAGGGTACCTTGAGCATCGGTGAGGTTTGTGTCAAGATGAGCAGGCTCTGGTTTCAGCTTTGCCCTGGTTTCAAAGAGGGGAGTTCTTCTGAATTCAGTTTCTTAAAAGTTTGGGGTGCTCTCTCTTACTCCTGGAGGGTCACTTTGGATACAAGGTGTGCCTTCCACATGTGACTCTTGTCTTCTTGTACGGATTCAATGCACTAGTCACACTGGATTAGATCCCCCACTTCTCCCCTGGTCACACCAGCACTTCCTTATTTCCATTTCATTGCATCTATAAAACTCTATTTCCAAATAATCTCATATTCCCAGGGACCAGTCAAGTGAGGACTTTGGGAGCCCCAATTTAACCCATAGCACAGGGAGTCACAAAACATGGATGGTTGGTCTCTGCTTCCACAGAAGCTAGAAGCAAGAATGGGTACCAGGTACCTGGGTGCTGCCTTCAGCTCCCAGAAGGACATGGGACATGTCTTTCTTTCTGGAACTTATTCTTCCTGGTGAGATGAAGAAAAGGCCTCCACCCTTTAACTGGTAGATTCCTACAAGGCCAAATGCAGGAGAGAACGTGAAGTGCACGGATGAGAAGACTCCCCTTAGGCCCCGGATGCCCCTGTACCTCTGGCATGAGCTTGGCAATTCCTGGGAGAGTAGATGAGACTCTCAGAAGTCCCACCAACTTTCCTTCCTGTAATTTTAGCCTAGCATGGTACTTTGGGAAGTGCTCAGTTCTTTTCTCTAAGAATTGAGGACCTGCCCAGAGGCAAGAGTTCAGACAAGGGCCAGGATTCCTGGGTCGGGCCCTGCTCTGTCCCTGTCATGCTTGGGCAATTCCCTCCCTTGCCCGGGCTCTTTCTTCCATCATAGAACAGGTGGCCTTGGTGGATGCCCTTCTGGCTCAGATCTCCAGAGCACAGCCAGGACTTATGGAACCTTCCTGCCTGTCCTGGACTCCAGCTGCACCCTCCATCCGAGGATTGTCCTACTATCCCATGGCTGTGTGTGCGTCTCTTCACGCACTCAGACTCTCCCTGTCCAACAAAGATTTCCCTTCTTACCCACCCTAACACCATGGCCGCACCTGAAACCCACGATAGTTTTCCCTAAACAGCATGCCACATTCACATTAGTAGCTAGCTGTCTTAGTTATTTTTATTTGTCGCTGAGACAAAATACTTGATGACCAAAGTTGGGAAAGGAAAGGTTTATTTCTTACAGTTTTTGGAGGTTTCAGTCCATACTCAGTTGGCTCCAAGGCAGGGTGACATGTCGGGGCCACAGTTCATGGCAACTGCAAAGGGCAAGGCAGAAACCGTCAAGAGACAGACACACCTTCTTCCTGCCATTACATCACATCCTGGCTCCACCCCTAGGTGGGTGGAGCACTGACACCATCAATCCAAGCACTAGACAATGAACAATCACAAATGCACAATGCAAACTCATTAGGGCTGGGGGCCACCGACATAAACCTTGACAGTAGCTTATCTTTTTGTCAGTCTCCTTCACTCGAATACAAGTCTCATAATGACACGCACTTTCTCTGTCTTGTTCAACAGAGGATCCAGTGCCTAACGGAGGATTGGGGACCCAGTGGGCACTTAGTACATAGACAGTGAAAGGAGAAAAGGGAAGTAGAGAAAGAGAAAAAAAGGGAGGGAGAGGAGGAGAAGAGGAAAGAGAAAGGAGAAAGGAAGGAAGCCTTTAGCCATATACGTGCACAGAATCTCAGATCACTAACAAAACTGTTTTCCCACCCTTGCTGCTGCTATGTCATTTTGCCTCCAGTCTATCTGTCTGACCAGTATTTATTGCAGCCAGCTGTGCCCCAGCCCAGTGCTGAGGTGAGAGGTGCGGGTGGACAGTCCTGATGCCGTGTCTTCTGGACCTTATCGTGTCTACTGAGGAAAACAGAAGCCGACATGGAGCCCACATACCAAACAGCACTGCAGTTGGTGCTGAGGGAGAGGACAGGGTCAGCAGTGACCATGAAGCAGAGGATAGGCAAGGGCAGGGACGCTCAGAGGAAGTGTCGCAGGCCCTGAGTGACTGCTTAGGAGGCGAAGGCCGTGGCAGTTCAGGACCAGGGCTCCCCCTTCCTGGCCTGGGCCTTCTCTACTGTTTCCTGGGCAGCTTTTCTTGTCAGTCTCCCCAGACCACCTGCAGCTAAGTCAGGGCCTTTCTCCCCCCTCTCTGCTCAGCCCCAGCCTCCCTTTTAGGCACCCTCCCTCTACTCTGTCCACGCTCTTCCTCATCTTGACCCTTCCTGAGTCTCAGGCACAACTCCACGTTTCATCCCAAGTTGGGACCTGGCTAACACAGGGAACACAGCAGGACCCCAAGGCAGCAATTATGGCAGGTACAACCTGGCTTCCTGCACCACACCCGTCCCCTCATCACATTGTCCTGTGGATGCCACTGCTGTGCTATTTGCAGATGGAGGCCTGAGAGCCTGTCCTCTGTGAGAGGCTGAACAGGATTCCCCAGGTTCTTTCTTGAGGAGCAGGCTTCAGTGCCCAGGGCCAGGAGGAGCAGAGGTTCTGCTTCTTTTCTAGGAATCAAGCTCTCTCTGATCACGGGGCTTGGAACTATAGAAATTTTCAAGCTTAGGGAGGCTTTGGAAAAAGGAATTCAATATGGATCCTGTCCTCTAGAGACTTTCACCTGTGCTGACAATAGCTGACCTCTAGCTAACATTTACCTGTGTCCATGCCAGACACAGCCACACACTGTGACACTTGCATTAAGTGGTTTGGATCTCACCAAAAATCTTATCCCCACGTCACAGCAGAAAGGACTGAGGCATGGACGAGTTTCATCCACATCACTGCTAAGACAAGAGGCCACGGTTGGACCCAGCATGCTCTGAAGTCCTGCTCTGAAGCCCAGCGACACACTTCCATGTCACTAACATGGTACACAGAGCCTCCCTTGGAACACGCAGGGTGCAGGGACTGGTCACCACCTCCCGTGAACACCCCCAGCCCTGTCCTCAGCCTCCTGAGAGTTTGTCCTCTGGACTGAGGCCATTCATACAGTGACTGGTCTGGATCCCTTTTAGAAGAAAAATACAATTTACTTTTCCACTCATGCTTTGCTCTCTCCCCGCCCTCCAGGCCCAGTGTTAATTTCAGCAGGGAAACAGCCTTTGAAGTCCCGCTTCTTGAAAGCTGAGAGGGTAAGGGAGGCACTACAAACATTCAAAAGCATGCCCACATGTTGGTTGGAACACGGAAGTTTTTTAAGGATTAATAACAGGTTTTGGAACTGATGGACCCTGCTGCTTTTTCAAGATGGAAAAAAAATAACCCCTTAAAAGTCACAACTGTGACTGAAAAAACTCACTGAGTCAGGGAGCCAGAAGACCAGGTCTCCTTCGGCAGTTTAAGGAAGCAACCCCAAACGCTGGCCCCAGATGAGACAGGAAAACCATGCAGATTGTTTAAAGCGACACTCTCCGTTTTTTAGGATTGTCTTTAATTTCTGGGTTGTCCTTTCTGCCTTTTTTATTCTTTGCCAAAACATCCTTTATTTAAGGAAATTATCACTATATAAAACGATAACTTCTTTCCTTTCTTTTTCTCTTTCCTTCTTATTTTCTTTCTGTGGTTGATCTCGAACTCATGAACTCAAGTGATATCCCTCAGCCTTCCTGAGCAGCTGGGACTGCAGGCACGTGCCACTGCGCCTAGCTAACAACAGCTTTTTAGAAAATGCCTAGCAACCCTGTCTCAGTGTATCCATGTTCATTTTGTACATGTTTGGGGATGCAGGTGATCTGTGTAGTCTCACTCTGAGACCACCATGGCGAGAGAAGGAGCTGGCCACTTGTTAGCACATGCCGAAGTAGACAGAGGGCCTCATGAGCCTCACCAATGAGTAGAGACCGTTCAGGATGGGGTAGTTCCAGAGGCTGATCCAGACAGCTCTGGGAGCAGGGCACTTGTTTGCCAAGATGGAAAGGGCCTCTTTATGCAGAGTGAGGGAGAAAGGTATATGAATCTACAGAAGAAGCAGCAGCAGGGTCCCAAAGTGACTGCTGCTCCCCAAGAAGCCCAACTCATCCGCATCTCCTCCCGACTCTGCAAGGAACACACTCCGGTCAGCCCACCTGACATGCAAGGTCTCGGAGGCACAGCACATCCTCACCCAGGCCACCAGCAGGACCAGTTACTGAATTTGCAGGCCCACTGCAAACTTGAGCACCTTGTTCATAAATGATTTAAGAAGTTTAATTTCTCTCTAAGCACGAGACCCTGTTTAACTACTCAGACCACATGCTTATGACAGCCACTCTGAGGCAGGATCTCAAAGTCCAGCTCTTTCTTTTATGTGTCACTGTTTCCCTCTAGATGCTGGGGTGACATTAAACAGAGAAAGCAAAACCTGGAAGAATCCATCTGGTAAAATCTGCAAGACATCAATCAGCTTGGTATCGTATATTTTATACTGAATTCTTATCAATGGCTAGGTTTGAGAGAATTGAGATCATCAATGAGTTTTTTTTTCTACTTCTCTGCTTAATAATGTTTTTAATATAAGTATGGATTTCTTTAAAATAGAAAAGAAGTGGGTGTTTGTTATGTTAATAGTTTTACCTGTGGGATGAGGAAGAATCACATGCTTTCCTGGCCGTTCTCCTGACTCCTCTTTGCCTGTCATTCTCAGGGATGATGGACCCCTGCCTGCACCATGTGGGGGTCTGCCCTGGCTCTGACCTGTAGAGACTGTCAGGTTGAGAGTGTGTTGCAATCAACCAGAGCATGTGGACCAGCGGAAAGATAAGCCAGGAGCAATGGGTGTGACCCTTGCTTTGCTACGAATATGTGATATGGCTTTGGTCAGGCTCCCTTTCCTCTCTGGGCCTGATGTTAAAGTAAGGTCCTTTCAAACAGAGTGGTCTATAGCTCCATGACAGCAGCAGCCTAGGACAGTGGTGGTGAACTGATGGCACGTGAGCCACAGCGGGCTGTGTGTGTCATTGAAAACTCTGAAAAATTCACTGCCACTGCTTTAGGAGGCTACTACACCTACCAAGATCCCTCCTTGTATTTCCTCCTTATCCACAAAGAACAGGAAGCTCAAGGTGGCAGCCAGCTAAAGACCTGAGGTAGAGATTCCCAGGCGGAGAGTTCAGCTGTGAGAAGGCAGCATGGTATAGCAGGAAGAAGGATTCTCAGTCAGAGAATCCCTGGAGAGCCATATCTGCCCCTCTCAGGACTTCTGAGTCCATTCCAAATTGTCTGTGAGTTCCAGCTGCCCCCAGAATATACCCTCACCTCCTTCCCATGGACCTACATAATCCTCCCTGAGACCCTAGCTGCCCATTCTCTGAGTCTTGCCTGCACCTTATCTACCACCCTGGCCTCCCTGCCCCAACTCCCAGCTCATTCCTCAATATAAACAACAGCTAGTATGATTCAGTAGCCTGGTCACAGATACCTTTCCAAATGTCATGCATTTTGGGGATCCTCTGCCCGAGAAATCATAGGCCCAATGCTCTATCCAGTTGGATGATTCCCTGTCCTCGTGAAGCCTGCCCCAGAATCCTTCATCCTGCTCTGAGGTTGCCAGCATTGATAACAGAAAACCAGGAAGCTCAAAGGGCTGTTCCTTTGACTGTAAAAGGAGCTCATTAGCCAGTGCTCCCCTTTTGTGGAGTTCAAGTTCCCTCATTTGGAGCCAAGAGTGTCCTTGGTACCCTCTCCCACATTTCTGTAGCTAACTCAACCATCACCTTGTTGACCAGTGCTCGGCCACTCCTGCTTCTTGTTCAGCCTTTTGTCTTCCTTCTGGCCCTCCCCTACCTCTTCTTGCCACCAGGATCTTAAGACAGCAGATTCAGTCCCTGGAGAAATGGGTTCCTCTACACCAGCATGGTCTCCCAGCCATAAAATCTGTCAACTTCATAAACTCCTCACTGCAAAAATCTGCCCAAACATTCCGAGGCGGTTGTAACTATTGGTGTTGGCTTGCAGGCCTTTGCAAGCGGCCAGGGCTTTAATGAGGAAATACTTAACAGTTCCAGCCCAGGGTAAGGCCAGGGAGGTGGGTGGGGAGCCTGTGGATGGGTGCCAAGGGGCTGTGAACAGAGTTCTAGGGGACACAGGCAACAAGACGAGCTATCAACCCCGTACCCAGGCAAGTGACGATGACTTCACCCTGCTGTCCTTTGAGGTTGCAGCAGAAGAGGACGAAATGGTCTGAGACGGTGGGACAGCTGTCAGAAACAGATCCTAGCTGAGGCGAAGACCCAGGCAGGCAGACAGATGAAAAGGACACTTTCTCCCTCCCCGGCTAGGCCATGCTGTCTTTTCCATGATTAATGTGGAGAGAATTGCTAAGCTGCTTTGGAGGCCGGCAGTGGAGAAGTGGTCCTTTCTTTCCTCTCCCCAGGCGCCTGTCTGGGAGAGGGTGGGCAGGGAAGGGTCAGCCATGTCTGTGGGGCCATTTCAGGGCCACTTGGAATTCAAGCAGGAATCCACATCACCCATATCAAGGGCCTCTGACTCGGGCAGGGTACTGTGGGCAGGAGACCTCAGGAAAAGGTGCCTGCTGTCGCCCCGGCCATGTGCTTACAGAGAACCAGCTGCCCGTGGTGTTTCCCTTCCCATGAGCCACATGAAACAGCTCCTCGGGGAGAAGGAGGGAGAACACACTTCAGAAGTGAGTGTGAAAATTTGGGCCTGGCAGAGGGATGCTGTCCACAAGAAGAGGGCAACTCGAGGGCTTTGGGCCTCCTGGAAACTTGGACTGAAGTTGATGTCTGATGGTCAGGGAAAAGGTCCACTGGCTGTGGGGATGGAGGAACTGCTGACCCGCCCTGCCCTCTACACAGGCCTCTCTCTCTCTTTCAACCGTGTGGCCACATTTTGTGCCTGTGGTTAGGCGGGCAATTGTAAAAGCAGAATAACCTGAAAGCACCTAGTCAGAAAGACATGTCTGTCCTCGCCAGAGGTCTAATCTGTCACCACACCCCGAGTGCCAATTCTCAGGGCAGTTGCCCCCTGGGCAACGAAAGCCATAATTTTGAAATACAAGGAAAAATGAAGTTCACTCTTGCAGAAGCTAGTTACTGGGTCTCCTTTCTCTTCATCAGATCAATAGTTCTCAAGAGCTTGCCTCATCTTATACCCTGGTCCCCATCAAGGCTCTCTGAGACTCAAATGGCTCACCCTACTCTTATCCAGGAATCAGCTTACAGCCCTAGGAAACTGGAATAGAAGTGCCTGGGTGTCTGTCTGACTGTTGGCCAGGAAGAAGGAAAATCTGAGGTCTCACAGAGACGCTGAGTCAGATCAAAGAACAGATTTCCCTTTGGAGCCCATCTGGCACCACACTGGTTTTGCAAGTGGGAATCCATAGCTCAGAAAATGGAGAAGATAAAGTGGGCCCAGGCTGCTTCACACAGCACTGCACATTCCCTGGCCCGGGACCCGTGGCCATCGCCTCCCCTTCCTCTGCTCCCACAGAGGCTGGGCCCAGGCCCCCAAAACCTCAAATGCTCTGTCATACCCAAGTGGGCCCAGGGATGTCATAGATGCGAGGACAGGAGCTAAGAAGGCTGCTTTCAGTCCCAAGTCTCAGTCTAAGTCCTGTGACTCTGGGGACTCTTTGGAAATATCCCTCATATTTGAAAAACATGCGTTTGGAAAGGTTCTTTCACAAGTGTTATTTCACTATGTCCTTAATCTCTTGGGGTCCCAATTTTTCCACATCAAAATAAGAGATTGGGCTGACATATGGCTTCAAGGCTACCTCCCTCACGTGCTAATATTCTGTAAGAGTCTACATTTTGTAGTATCTCGCATATTATATGATTTGTTTTAGGATTCATGGTGCTAAGGTTGTATATACTGGAGTTGTAGAATTCTGGGCTTTTAAAACGCAGTGGTCCTTGATTCTCAGAATATATGACTGCTTTGTTTCATGTCATATATGTCAGTGTTTCCCAAATTTCATTTGTTCCCGCACCACCTTTACATGTAGGCTATGTCTGTGTACCACTCATATTATTATTCGTTTAGGGTTTTTCTTTAAATAGACTCTTTTTTAACTTAAATAGGTATCTTTAAAATGGAAACTTGAAATCATTATTGCAAATGGAAAACCAGTCTCACCTGCCATAAATAGGAGCTAAAAGTAAAAATAAATACAATAAAAACAATGCTATTAAATTCTAATTAGATACTGTTGCTTGCCAAAGACTCCAAGCCCAAGGCTTGCTCTTTAAAAATAAAAAAAAAATTTTTTTAGTGTATATGTGTGTGTGTGTGTGTGTATACACATACATTAGCAAGACTTGGAGCTGTATTAAGGAGATGTTAGCATCCAATTGAAACAGTATGAGAGTTGCAAATATAACTAAATTTTTCATGTTTCCCATTAAGTGTTGTTCAGTGCTATACCTGGCTGCTGCCGGTCCCTTCACTGAGTAAAATGCCTCTCTGCTGTTTGGGTGGAGGAATCTGAACTCTGGCCTGCCATGCCACACACACATCATCCAGACAGATCAGCTGTTTTCTTCTCTTCTTAGCTTTGCATTATTGCAAAACCAGTCCCTTGGGTTTAGGCTTGGGGCTCCGTTCCCTCTGTTTATGACCCTCTGGATTAGAGGAAGAGACCGGAAGCCTTTGAGGCCTAGGACGTAGAAGCTGGTGTAGACACCAGTGAGTGACCCAGGAGCTGGCAGCAAGACTCAGCCAGGAAGAAGTGCCCTTGTGTCAGCCCGGGGAGGTCGCAGCTGGGCCTGCAGTGCTGGGTTTGCCTGTGGAGCAGAGAGAGTCAGGAAGGGCGAGCAGATGGGGAAAGAGGCTGTGCAGAGGTTTAAGGCTGTGCCTGTCGTCTTTGCTGCCTGCAAAGCCAGAACAGTGTCAAGACAAGAGGTACCAAGTTCTAATCCCACCACTGCTGGCCTGTCTCAGTGCAAGTCTCTGTCTGTGACAGTTTCACCACCGTACTTGGGATGCGCACACTGGCTGTGGCTGTCACTGTGAGGAGCAGTTGTGTCCAATTGCTTGCTGGCTCACAACTCTTATCGTCAGCACATACTTGCACTGCAATAAATGGCTGCTGAGATTGCTGTTAAAAAATAATCATTATTATTTGATGCTCAGATGCTTTGAAAGGGTAGAGGTAGGGACAATGTCCTCATTGTCAGGAGCAGTGGACAGCGATGCTTGATATACAGAAGTCCTCCAAAAACTCAACAATAACATTTTCATGTTCCTGCCAAGCCCCCAGTGCCTGAGAACAACATCAGACCTGGGCCTGGGCTCAGTTTCTGGAGTCCATGACAGTTTCCCTGTGATAATAACCTTGGCCTCATAGCCAAGGCAGCCCTCTTTGACTCCACTGCAATTCGTGGCACCCAGGGCTGCCTGATTCCCTGTTTCTCTCACCCTGTGTGCATCCCCACCTCACTGCTACCCC